GTACCTCGATTCCTTGACTCCGGGGTTTTTGTTTCACCGGTGGGGGGTCCTTCCCGGAGTCTCCTCGAAGTACGTGGGGCTCCTTGGGTTGCCCTTCCCGCCCGCTTTTTTTTTTGGGTTCATGTGTTACGTTTTGGGCACGAAATTAGGTGGTGTTTTGCTGTTTCGGAACCGTTTCGAAACAGCAGGCCCAGCTATAATATTGTTTAGGAGATTCTGGGGGATTCGGCCGAAACAGCTGGCCCAGCTAGGATTCCCGAACTAGGATCTAGATCTAGATCTAGGATTTTCTATAGGATATAGGATTCTCTAGGATTTCAGACGGGACGTTAGGCAGCATGAAAAATTGTGTTTTTCTAGGATGGCACCAATGGGTGTCAAGAACGTTGGCAAGAGCACGCAAAAGGTGCACATAGCCAGTAGCTAGCAGCCAGCGCCAGTAGCAGCCAGCGGCCAGTAGCCAGCAGCGTACCAAAAAATCTAGATTTTTCTAGGATTTCAGACGACACGTTAGGGATTTTTTTGGCGTGGTTCTGGCACTCGCTCGTCCTTCAGAGCCCTGGTGTTTTCCCCCCCGGGAGGTGATTTTTTCGAACCTGTTTTACTGCTAGCAGCCGCCAGCAACAGAATCTATCGAAAAATTGAGTTTTTCTAGGGTGCCAGACGACACCAGTAGCAGCCAGCGGCCAGTAGCCAGCAGCGTACCAAAAAATCTAGATTTTTCTAGGATTTCAGACGACACGTTAGGGGCTTTTTTGGCGTGGTTCTGGCACTCGCTCGTCCTTCAGAGCCCTGGTGTTTTCCCCCCGGGAGGTGATTTTTTCGAACCTGTTTTTTACTGCTGGCAGCCGCCAGCAACAGAATCTATCGAAAAATTGTGTTTTTCTAGGGTGTCAGACGACACGTTAGGCAAAAGAGCTAGCAGCCAGCGCCAGTAGCAGCCAGCGGCCAGTAGCCAGCAGCGTACCAAAAAATCTAGATTTTTCTAGGATTTCAGACGACACGTTAGGGACTTTTTTGGCGTGGTTCTGGCACTCGCTCGTCCTTCAGAGCCCTGGTGTTTTCCTCCCCGGGAGGTGATTTTTGCGAACCTGTTTTACTGCTAGCAGCCGCCAGCAACAGAATCTATCGAAAAATTGTGTTTTTCTAGGGTGTCAGATGACACGTTAGGCAAGAGCACGCAAAGGTTGCACATAGCCAGTAGCTAGCAGGCCAGCGGCCAGTAGCAGCTAGCGACAGTAGCCAGCAGGTACCAAAAAATCTAGATTTTTCTAGGATTCAGGACGACCACGTTAGGACTTTTTGGCGTGGTTCGGCACTCGCTCGTCCTCAGGCCTGGTGTTTTCCCCCCCGGGAGGTGATTTTGCGAACTTGTTTAACTGCTGCAGCCGGCCAGCAACAGAATCCATCGAAAAAATGTGTTTTTGCTAGGGTTGTCCGACGGACACCGAATCTATCGAAAAAGTGTGTTTTTCTAGGGTGTCAGACGACACGTTAGGCAAGAGCACGCAAAAGGTGCACATAGCCAGTAGCTAGCAGCCAGCGCCAGTAGCAGCCAGCGGCCAGTAGCCAGCAGGGTACCAAAAAATCTAGATTTTTCTAGGATTTCAGATGACACGTTAGGGACTTTTTTGGCGTGGTTCTGGCACTCGCTCGTCCTTCAGAGCCCTGGTGTTTTCCCCCCCGGGAGGTGATTTTTTCGAACCTGTTTTACTGCTAGCAGCCGCCAGCAACAGAATCTATCGAAAAATTGTGTTTTTCTAGGGTGTCAGACGACACGTTAGGCAAGAGCACGCAAAAGGTGCACATAGCCAGTAGCTAGCAGCCAGCGCCAGTAGCAGCCAGCGGCCAGTAGCCAGCAGCGTACTAAAAAATCTAGATTTTTCTAGGATTTCAGACGACACGTTAGGGACTTTTTTGGCGTGGTTCTGGCACTCGCTCGTCCTTCAGAGCCCTGGTGTTTTCCCCCCCGGGAGGTGATTTTTTCGAACCTGTTTTACGGCTAGCAGCCGCCAGCAACAGAATCTATCGAAAAATTGTGTTTTTCTAGGGTGTCAGACGACACGTTAGGCAAGAGCACGCAAAAGGTGCACATAGCCAGTAGCTAGCAGCCAGCGACCAGGACAAGAAGAAGACACAACACTCTCCCCCCCCGCCCCCCCGGCGGCAGTAGCCAGCAGCGTACCAAAAAATCTATCTAGATTTTTCTAGGATTTCAGACGACACGTTAGGGACTTTTTTGGCGTGGTTCTGGCACTCGCTCGTCCTTCAGAGCCCTGGTGTTTTCCCCCCCGGGAGGTGATTTTTTCGAACCTGTTTTACTGCTAGCAGCCGCCAGCAACAGAATCTATCGAAAAATTGTGTTTTTCTAGGGTGTCAGACGACACGTTAGGCAAGAGCACGCAAAAGGTGCACATAGCTAGTAGGCTAGCAAAAGGCCCCTGCAATAGCCGTAGCTATAGCAGCCAGCGCCAGTAGCAGCCAGGCGGCCAGTAGCCGCAGCGATACCAAAACATCTAGTTTTCTAGGATTTCAGACGACCGTTAGGGACTTTTTTGGCGTGGTTCTGGGACTCGCTCGGTCCTTCAGGAGGCATGGTGTTCCCCCCCGGGAGGTGATTTTTTTTTTTCGAACCCTGTTTTACTACTAGCAGCCGCTAGCAACGAATCTATCGAAAAATTGTGTTTTCTAGGGCGTTCAGACGACACGTTAGGCAAGAGCACGCAAAAATGTTGCACCATAGCCAGGAGTAAAGCCAGCGCCAGTAGCAGCCAGCGGGCAAGTAGCCCGCCAGAGTACCAAAAAATCTAGATTTTTTCTAGGATTTCAGACGACACGTTAGGGACTTTTTTGGCGGGGTTCTGGCACTCGCCGTCCTTCAGAGCCTGGTGTTTTTCCCCCCCGGGAGTGATTTTTTCGAATCTGTTTACTGCTAGCAGCGCCAGCAACAGAATTTATCGAAAATTGTGTTTTTCTTAGGGTGCCAGACGGACACGTTAACAAGGAGCACACAAAAGGTGGCACATAGCCAGTAGCTTTTATAGCAGCCAGCGCCAGTAGCAGCCAAGCGGCCAGTAAGCAGCAGCGTTTACCAAAAAATCTAAATCGAAAATTTTTCAAGGATTCAGACGACACGTTAGGGACTTTTTTGGCGTGGGTTTCTGGACTCGTCGTTCCTTCAGAAAAGCCCTGGTTGTTTTCCCCCCGGGAGGTGATATGTTTCGAACCTGTTTTACTGCTAGGCAGCGCCAAGCAACAGCATCTATGAAAAATATGTTTTTCTAGGGGTCAGACGACACGTAGGCAAGAGCACGCAAAAGGTGCACATAGCCAAGTAGTAGCTAAAGCCAGCGCCCAGTAGCAGCCAGAGGCAAGTAGCCAGCAGCGTACCAAAAAATCTATCTAGATTTTTCTAGGATTTCAGACGACACGTTAGGGACTTTTTTGGCGTGGTTCTGGCACTCGCTCGTCCTTCAGAGCCCTGGTGTTTTCCCCCCCGGGAGGTGATTTTTTCGAACCTGTTTTACTGCTAGCAGCCGCCAGCAACAGAATCTATCGAAAAATTGTGTTTTTCTAGGGTGTCAGACGACACGTTAGGCAAGAGCACGCAAAAGGTGCACATAGCTAGTAGCCAGCAGCCAGCGCCAGTAGCAGCTAGCAGCTAGTAGCCATTCAGAGCCCTGGTGTTTTCTCTATGTCTCGCGCACGGGGAGGAGGACACACCACCCCCAAAAAACGGAAAGCAAAAGGATGGATGCTTGAGCTTCATGGCAGGGATATGGACTAGCAAAATTTCAGTTCAACACACAAGTATATACTATTTGATGCATATATATATATAATGTATATATATAAAGCATCCAGGCTGACAACTCACAGAACACTCGAATGAAGCCAGCTGACACCATTGCGAGTTTCTCTTTTCCGGGGTCGGCGGCAGGGGCGGCAGCCCTTAAATAAACAATTGTGCCTTATGCCATCCAGCCTGCCTGCTGGGCCTGCCTCCTGGTGATGATTATCCCATTGAGAAAGCTTGCAATAACCATGATCAGCTGGGGCCCTCATAGCAAGGTGTGCCCTGCTGTGCGGTGAGACATTCTTCGAAGGCGAGACATAGCTTTTCGTAGCGCTGCTTGAAAGGAGCCCCAGGGCATCATCGATCAAGGAATTTGCCCCGATGGTGGAGGATAAATTCCCATTGAACCAGGTTCCAAAAAGGTGGAAGGCTCCAAAATGACAGTTTTAAATTTGGGAAATTATGATCAACAACAATGAGATACATTTTCGGGCACTAATTTCTTCAGGGAAACCATGGAAAACCGATTCAATCAAAAGCAACTCAAATTGTAGTGCTTCAAAATTGGAGGTGCCGACCCCATCAACTATGTAGCTGCATCCAATTCAAAAATTCCTACACTTTTGAGTAGTCAAGCATCATCCAAGGATGTCCAAGGTATGCATCAGTGATGAGAAATCTGGGGCTCCACTGCTATGAGATTCCTGGGATCTGAGCCCGAGCCAGCCTGGCTGGCGGGCATAGCGCCTTTTTTGTGTGTCTTGCTACAGATGGTCAGCATTGATAACCGAGGATCTCTGCATGCTTTTTGATGGCTACAAGCTTATCAGAGTGTGGCTTGGAGGACTGCAAATTAATCATGGAACCATTGCAGCTCTGGCAGAAAGAAGTGGACATATAAAAGCAGAAATACGATTTGGGTGCTGACAAGATTCTGTCACGTGTCAGGTTGCGCAGAATTGCATACCCCGTTTATCTCGATCAGTTCTCTGGGTATCTTTTCCACACAAACCTTTGCCGGGATTGAGATAAAGCAGAAAACAAGATTCGCTGGCAAGCCTCTTCTTTCACATGCTTCCTGTTCAACAACACCGGATGTACCAAACTCACCAGACGCTGTGATTACCCCCGGGCCCCCATGGAATCTCAGCCCTTTTTCCTGACAGGATGGCCTCAATTTCACCAGAATCCCGACCAGTCCTGGCTACACCGTGGCTCTGGGGATATTCCCTCCAGAGGATTGACCATTGGGCTTCTCTGTCTTGGCGCGGTTCACTGACTTCATCAGCATCGTCCTTTGTGCACTAAAAAACGTGGGAACCGCTGGGAAAAACACGTGGATACGTGGAACAAAACGAAGATCGCAAGGATTTTTTAGCAAATCCTGAGTGATCTGTGAGGGACGTGCGAAGGGAGCGGAGTAACAACCTCAAACCTTTGCCGCTCCTGAACCCCCAGGCTGTTGCATCTTTCACCCCCCCATCCAGTTGCAAACTCTGTCAATCACGTGGATGATCCTCCCACTGGGTTATCCCATGTGATCCCATTGGGTGAACCCACCATGACCAGTTGCGAAACGTATTTTGATCCAAGCAGTGGCCACAACCAAGTTGCACAAAGATGGGTTCCAAGACATTTGTCATCTCTTCGGGGCTCAGGTTGCTCACCCACATCACCTTTGATCGACACTAGAAACACCTTGCATCATGGACAGCAAAAAGGTTCTCACACTTCAAACATGTGGCTTAGATTAATTTAAAATATTTAAATCTATAGGTCAAACGACCTCTGCCGGTTTTTGAGTTTCAAGTTTCCCTGCGCGGTCTTCGTATGCATTTCCAATATTCCTAAGCCAAACAGAAGATTCCCCTCCAAGCCCACCTCGGTCCCATGGTTCACAACGAACGACAAGGAAAGAAATGGCTGGCTACGGCCCGCCCAAAAATGGGGGACCAATGGACCTACAAGATTGGCGATTTCAAGATTAAACCATCCATTTCTGGGTGTGTATTTTTCAATCTTCTCCAATTAATTACAAGTCAAATAGAGTCGTACTGTGCTTTTTCGCCCCCGGAATCCACCCAGGCCAAGCCCCGCTACCTAGCAACAAACCAGTCGACCATCCATAAAGTGCTGCTAAGAGACGAAATCGTTGGCATAGTTTTTGAGCATCTTGCGACATATAGGGTACCTGTGCACTCATGGCTGGCAATATCTATCATCTTGTAGGGATCTGCAAAAGGCTAGTGTGTTGTAAGAAACAGCACAGGATGGTTGCAGCATGGGCACCACATGGCACCACCCCCGGTCTTGACCAAATCGAACCAATATGTGTATGTTTACTTGGCATTAGGTTGGCACTTGAATAAACGCCACGATTGTGGTTGTGCAAAATGTATCTTAACTTACAGTATCTCAGAAGTCTGGACGGCCTGTGTCAAGCATGACCCAACGTCAGACAGAGGTAACAAGTCCCTTTTGCAAGTTGGAAGCTAATCTCCAAATTGCTTCAAGCTTGGAGGGCTGTCATGACGTGGCAGCGGCCAAACGACTAGCAGCCGAGAAGAATTCAATGGGCACAGTTTGTTGTATCAACATGTGTTCCAGTCTCAGAAGCTAACCACCGCATAGAGACTGGATAGAATGTGGGTATGGCTCAAGAACCTATCTCACGATGTACGATATTTGTGGGAATGCATATCCATTTGCCAGCTACTCTTATACTTATTATATAGACTTATAATGACTTATATAGTCCTATGATGTCCTATGTGTTCAGCATTTGTGCTTTTGATTTTTGACCCATATGCCATAGCACAAATTCTGCCAAGGAACGCATCAATCAGGGACCTGAGACTCTCGCGGCGCCACAACGAGTTGGAGTTGGGGATAGCACAATGACCACGGGGACGGGGTGGCCACAAGGGGACTATCAGGATCAGCAACGCTGATTCCGGAGAATTTCGCAAAGCCAAGGTTTTGAGCCACGACAATGCATGACATGCAGGTTCCCAACCTCTCCAATTCATTCCCTTTGCCAAAGAACAGGATGCACTTGGGAGAAATCAGGAGCAAGTGAGATTCGATGGTGGCAGACAGTTCCCCCACATACTCCTTGGACGCCAGGCTGAAGCGGGGAAGCAGGACGGCCCTGGTAAACCAACTCAAATAAAGAAGACATGAACCAGAGAACGATACCACAAGTTCCCATAAAGTGATGCAACTAAATCACTGATAATCCAACCATGCAAAGCAGAACCACCAATTCAATCAAATTTACTTAATTTATAGACTTATAGATTATGTTCTGGTTGAAATGGGTACCTCCATGGATTTTCCATGACCATGTTTCGATACGGTACCAAACCAAGGGGATCCAAAGGGTATCTTGTACATATGTGTTGACAGGGCTGGAACGGATCCTCCCGGCAGGAGTACATTATATGATTTTATATAAGTATATACCACTATCAATGATTGCCAACTATCTCATCATGATAATATAGACATCATACACAATAACATGACATACCCTCTGGTAAACTAACATAGCTATGGAAAATCACCATTTTCAATGGGAAAATCCACTATAAATCACCATTTTCAATAGCTACGTTAAATTACCAGAGGGTAAATAATTGTATAAATCACTTGTTTCGGGGAAATATGGGGATGGATTGATTTCAACATCCCCCTCATGCGCGACACCGCTTCGCCAAATGTCCCAGTCGGCAACCCACATCACTGCTTCGGAAATCCACTGCCGGCCTGGAAAGGGGAACCATCTTGAGTGAACATTGACATAATAGTCTTTAAAAATTATATATCAGTTCATATATCCACATGTTTCACTTGGCCATAAACTGTATGCATTAATATGTGTATTCAAAATAGCTACAAATTACAAGCGCCGTACTTAAGTCATCAGGCGGGCAAAGCCACAACATCCCCATGGCAGAGCATGTTTCATCTCCAGCGACGCAGCTTAAAGTGGGCAGAAGCATTGCGCACAGTATATAATCATGATTTGAAGGATACAAGTTAAAATATCTGTTAAAATAAACTTTATTCCCTAGCAAGTCCTATTGGCAGGAATCATATAACTATATTGGTGCCCTGCTTTCCGCGACTTAACCCGAGCGCTTGTATTTTCGTTGCAGCCCATGGTAATTTGCCCAGATCATCGGTGCTTAAGTTTACCCTGCGACAAGCGTGGCGTTGTGTCGCATTTCACTGCCATCCCTTGCCAAACAACTTCTATGAACTCAACATACACACACAGAGAGAGAGAGAATATATATATATATATAACAATAATTATTTTTATTGTTATTATTATTAATTTAATTATATATATATATATATATAATAAATAATAAATACACATGTACGTATTAATGTGTACATAACTATTTATCTATATATATATATATGATGAGATGTAGTAATCATTACCTATCTATCTGTAATTGTATATATATATATATATACGTATATACATATATATATACACACGACGATTTGGGCAATGCTCTGGACAGCATTCATTACCTTCAACGCATGAAGGTGCCCAGCCCGGCAGCCCTGTCCCTTTCTCCTGGATCTATGATCGATTCCTGGGCAGAGCTGAGAGGTGCACTTCTGGGGACAGAATTACATAGTGTGCCATTTGCATCCATTTACCCTCAGATCCCTTACTATAATTGCTCAGTACGTCGGAAAGTCGACTTCTAAACATCTTTTATATAAATTGTTTTAACATGATTTAACTATGTTATTACAAGGCCAGGCTAGTCTCGATCACCTGATCTTCAAAAACGGATGTAATCGCAAAATATCGCAAACACATTAGCACAAAATAGGAATGTTGACCGGTTGGTATTATGAGTATAACATTTGAACCTACAGAATGAGGAACAATCATCCCAGATTGGCTGGTTGAAGCAACACGCTGTCCAAGGGACGAGTGGCTGCCAGTTGAACAAACATACGAACCTATCCCATCCCATCAAAAACTGAGTAACTAGTCCATTTCTTACATATACATTGTGTTACATTGTTATATGTTCTTGTAATCATAGTCCACAAAAAAAAAAAAGAGTATATCCCCATCAACCAGGGAACAATCATGTTCTTATACTTCTATACATTTCGATATAGTAATCCCCAAGAAACCGGGTACATGTAGCTTTTCTCTCAACTACACCAAGACCTGCGTCTGAGCCTCATCCGTGAAAGGATCTAGGTCGCCATTGTCAATGGTTCGCACGTAGCGCAGCCTGTGTGGCATGGCATCAGCCGCTGGTCAGCCTGGAGCCATTTTAGAATATGATAGAGCATAGATTCATAGATACTTGCAAACAAATCACAACAATTTTCAACTATTGATTGTTTGAACTTCTATTCAATTTCAGCATGTATGTATGTATGTACGTACGTACGTACGTACGTACGTACGTATGTATATTGCATGTATATTATCTGTGTATGTATATTGTATGTGTATGTATATTGTATGTGTATGTACATGTATGTATATGTATATGTATATTTGCGTGTGTGTGTGTGAATATACATACTGTATGTAGATATTTCGTAACCCGCTAAACGGTAACCAAATCATTTCACACGATTCTAGAAGGATATTTCTTGCATCAGCAAATAGAATTTAGATACATGTTCAATGTGGGTTGCCAAGGCATGACAACTGTGTTTTGTGATGCGATTTTTGTTTTAATATGTGTTAACCTTTTTTCGCGCCCTCCATGCGGACAAATCTTGCAACATACCATTTATTTCTTGCTCAAGGCCACCGTCAGAAGACCATTGAGACTAGGGACTGCCCTGCGAGGAGGAAGCGCATGGCCGTGGCGGGTGTGTAGGGCAAGAATTCCTCGAAGGATTCGTGGCTGGAAGGCGGGGTGAGCCGAGCCATGGATTGGTTTAAGGCAAATTTACAGGAAAACCCCATATTTCATGGGAAAATCTATGGTTTCCTGTAGATTTTCCCTTTAACCAATCCATTGAGGGTAGCCATGGTTAGTCCAACTATGAATGGAAGGAACAACTTGATTGAACAAAATGAAGCTATCACTAGAAGTGGTTGTCCCCGATGTGGTCGTCCCCGATGTGGTCGTCCCCGATGTGGTCGTCCCCGATGTGGTTGTCCCCAAAAAGTCCACTTCATCATTTCCAAGAATACCTTCCGGTAATCAAACGTGGCATTGGAAAACCCCTTGCAAATGGAGGCTTACAGCTGGGAAAATCAACTATAAATGGGAGATTTTCTGTTGCCATGTTTGATTGCCAAAGGGCAAATCTGAACCGCAAAAACCCGTGTGCTCAGCTGGCACATGTGGAACTATGCTGCGGGCGAGTCTCCCAATCATCCAGTGCCAAAGTTTTCTTCTCGAAGGTCTGCGCAGGAGTCAACATGTCAAAAATGTCAAAACAAGCAGGAAGTTGCAGCCGAAACTATAAGTGGAAACAAGAGAAACAGTAAAACAACTTTCAGATTTTACGGTAGCTCGCACCAACTATGTATGTATATATCTATATACATATTTATATATATATGCGTGTGCGTGTGGGTGTGTGTGTATCCCTAACTTTGATGCAACAAGAGGCCAAAACACAGACTTGGGAGCTTGGACAACGTGCAACTTGGATCTGAATGGCTCGGGCAAGTAGTCCCATTAACAAAGATAGAAAATACCATAAGATGCCAGTATGTAATCACAGTTATAGATAGGTACAGGGGTTATATCAAGTATTATCAAGTTATATCCCAACTTAATCCAACTTATGTGGTTTCAATTGTCTATTATTTGTATATGGGTGTGTCTGAAAATAGTGTACCCCTACACCCAATGGTTAATGGGGAATATACCCTATTTTCAGACAAACCCAAATATTTCTGGATCATACCCAAGGACAAAACTCCAACTGCTGGTGAGCCTGGCTGGCTTTTTCCATCAAGAGGCTGCCACCATTGCTCTTCACCAGGGCTTCGAAAAGGGCGTGGGTATTGAGCCTTGGACCGAGCCCCATTTCAGCCGCCCGGAGCCCCATTTGTGCCGTGGGAAAACAGGTGCCCGGCGTTTTTTGAGAGAAGTTGTTCGGCGTCAGCTGTTTTTTGAGATGTTGAGATGAAAATTAACTATGGACATAAATATGCACAACTAGATATAACTGATATAACTAGCGAATCCTAGTGACAAGTCGAGCATTTGAAATATGTTGGAACATCCTCCCCAAGGTGGCCCGGAAAAAATCCATCCAAGGCGCGTTGGTTGAACCAAGGCAAAACCTCCGGAGCCAGGCTTGATAGATGGATAAGAGTTCTGGTAACCAATAACTACTATGTGAACATGGCGCGTGTATAGATGATTCATGATGATTTACCTGTTGAAGACATATCTAAAAATCATGATTTTGGATAGTTACGTTAAATTGCCTGAGGGTATTCATCGACCCACAGCAAATATGTCCAGGCATCCACCGACCGAATCCACCAAAACAACTGGGATTGCGTCGGCAGAATTCCAGCTCTCTCTCTTTCTCTCTCTCGATTGTATCCCAGCTGTGCTCGCGTCTCCCACATAAAAATCATTGACTGCATATCTAAGTCCAAATCTATTTTATCTAGTGTAACCTAATATATATATATATATATATATTTGTACAAATCTAATCTTATGTACTACCTAATCTATATACGGAGATTATATGTTCTATACGTTATAATATAGATTGTTCTAACATCTATTTATATATATATATATAGATCTGTAGTCTATATAGATTAATTAGAAATCTACATCAATATACTCTCTGGTAAATTAACATAGACCCTGCAAGTCATCGGAGTTGGAAGATTAGTTTCCACTAAAAATTTGTCATTTTCAGGGTCGAACTGTTAATTTACCAGAGGGTATATCGTATGTTCTATACATATATAGTACCCCCTGGTTATGACTAACAGTTCGCCATGGAAAGACCCACCATTTTCAAGCTCGGTAAACCATCTATTTCTATGGGCCATCTATACCATGGCTATGTTAGTCATAACCAGAGGGCATGTTCCATTACAGATATTACAGTAAAACCTTCTTTGTTTGTTGGTTAAACCCCATGAAAAACAACCATTAAACCACCATTAACCCATGATCAAACCCCCAAGTCTCCAGGATCCACTGAGGTCGTGACTGAGCTCAGTCTGCAGTTGCTCTGACAGCACCTGGACACACAGATTTTTTTTTGCACAGATCTTCTAGACATACTCAGTATGTATATCACACACATATATATATACAATCAAATATATAAGTGTTATTGTTATTGTTATGAATATATATATATGATGTATATGTATACCATTGTATGTATGTATATATATATATATTTACACGTATATATACATGCATACTTATGTGAGACTAATCTGTTGGAATGCACACGCACGAGACTTTCCATTGCCCTATGAAATTGTCAAAGAAGTATAAACCTTAAACGATGATCATATCGGTTTTTGCTGCCCAAACAAAAATAGTCCCAAAACTCAAGCAACATAGTTTATGGTTAGATAGAACTGGGATGAACCGGGCTTTATGTCAGACAATGATATAAGTGCATAAATCACACGTAAGGATGTTTACATAAATGGGGATACCCCAAAATGGATGGTTTATAATGGAAAATCCTATTAATCAAAATGGATGATTTGGGGGTACCCCAATGACTTAGGAAACCTCCATATTAACCATGATTCACCAGTATGAACTATATTATGAACCACTATTATCCCATATCATCATCAACCAACATATAGTTTCATCCATTATCCCCGTTATATCCCCACTATTTCACCGTTAAACCAACAGATTTGAACGGTGCCGACACAGCTCCGCTCCAACGCTGCCAAGTCTCTGCAAGGCAACCCACGCTCTGTTGATTCACAGGCCTGGCATAGCCACATCCGGGGCTTTATTCATAGCGGTTGTATATATGTTTACGCACGTATGTATATGTATATACACATGAGAATGCCTATATCTATATATATATATCTATGAATCTATATGTCAATATACCTATACATCATATCAAATCTATCTATCAATCTTTCCATCCATCTATCGATCCATCTATCTCTCTATCTACCTGTCTGTCTATATATCTGTCTATCTATCTATCTATCCATCTATCTATCTATCCATGTATCTATCTATCTATCTGTCTATCTATCTATCTGTCTATCTAGCTGTCTATATATCATTCCATCTATCTATATATCTATCTATCTATCTATCTATCTATCTATCTATCTGTCTTTGTATATATATATAAATCTCTATCTATCGATCTATATGTTTGTCTATCTATCTGTCTATCTATCTATCCATTTATCTCCATCTATCTCTATCTATCTATCTATCTATTGCTCTATCTCTCTCTATCTATCTATCTATCTCTATCTCTATCTACCTATCTACCTATCTATTTATCTATATATTTATCTATCCATCTCTATCTATCTATCTATCTACCTATCTACCTATCTATCTATCTATCTATCTCTATCTATCTCTATCTTTCTCTATCTATCTCTACCTATCTCTATATATCTCTATCTATCTCTATATATCTCTATCTATCTCTATCGATCTCTATCTCTATATCTATATATCTATCTATGTATCTATCTATTTATCTACCTATCTATCTATCTATCGATCGATCTATCTATCTATCTATCGATCTATCTATCTATATACCTATCTATCTCTCTCTCTCTCTATCTATCTCTCTGTATCTATCTAATCTATCTAATCTATCTAATCTATCTAATCTATCTAATCTATCTAATCTATCTAATCTATCTAATCTAATCTAATCTAATCTATCTATCTATCTATTTATCTATCTATCTATCTATCTATTGCTCTATCTCGCTCTCTATCTATCTATCTATCTCTATCTGTATCTACCTATCTACCTATCTATTTATCTATCTATTTATCTATCTATTTATCTATCTATTTATCTATCCACCTCTATCTATCTATCTATCTATCTGTCTTTCTCTATCTCTATCTCTATCTCTATCTATTTATCTATTTATTTATCTATCCATCTCTATCTATCTATCTATCTGTCTATCTATCTATCTATCCATCCGTCCATCCATCTATCCATTTATCTCAAAATGTTTCTGATCTATCGATCTATCGATCAATCATTTATGAACCTATCAATCTATCGATCTATCTACATCTTTCGATCTATCTATATATGTGTGTGATCATTACATAATATATGTATATAGGCAACTATCAGAAACTTGTGTCGCCTCACAACATGGAGTCCCTTCCATCCCACGCCACGGTTGATCATCATGTTCCGCATGAAATTCGGGGATAAACCCATCATGTTTCAATGTTCCTCACCATTTCTTTGGGGCTCAATCCTCCTTTTTTTTGGCAATATGGCTGTGCATCCGTCGACAAAAAAAACAAGCCGGGGAGGCTGCTGCCGCCGCTTGAGTTCAAACTCCACAAAGCGGCGGATTCGCAAGGACCTGAGGGCTGGCTTTTTTTTGGCACCTGCAAACAATGCCCATTTTGATTCACATTATCTTAGCTGAGCAGTATTTTAGGCAACTACATGTTTTCTTTGTTAACTCAAAGGGTCATTGAAGTGATTTGGGTGGAACATCGTCACCACATATCACCACCTATGGGAAACCATGGCATTTTACAATCCAATTTGCGGCGGCGATGAACCCCTGAGGCTTGGGATGTATCAGGTTGAATCCACTGCCAATGCTCGAAACACCGGTCCGACCATGTTTACTCCCATGGTAAACACCCTGGAAACTGCTGTACGGCTCATGTCATGTCACATTCACGTTTCTGTTGCTTCAATCTCAATTTTTAGACTTCTTCGGCCATTAAACCAGCATAAATCAACCTAACATGTTTCGGTTGACAAAACATCCACATTTTTTTGCGCCTTTCCAGCTGAACTCCCCGCTGGGCTCCTGGGCAAGCCAATGGGCACCGCATTGCGGCGTAGGAAGCGCCGCAGCTTCAAGGTCTCGCGGGTGATGGTCTCGGACCTCCGCCGAAGTCAGTTTGAAGTGGGGGCCTTTATTTTCCAATAATTTTGAATATCCAAAGATATCCCTACTTAGTGGATGGTTTTGAGATAGAATAGAATACATTTAAATTACTTATGGCACTTGACTTACTTACACAACTTACAAGTTAACTTAGGAAACTTAACTGTTTAATTGTAGCTCTAAGTAACATAAGTTAAATATAAGTAATTTGCAAGTTTTTTTAGAGTTATTTTATTTTAAGTTATTTTGAACATGAAAAGAAATGTATTTTAGCAGTGTTTTCTTCATCATTGCGTTTTGCATGTTTATTTTTTGTGTTGAAGAAACCTTTGTTTCGTAAGTTTTCTTCGAACTTATTTGCTGCACTTGAAAATTTGATGATGTTTTTAAACTATTTTAAACTTTGGGTTGGACAATCTTAATTTGGAAACAAATAAAATGAGAGAGTTGCTGCCCAAAGGGCCGCAGGATAGAACATCCACTGATGACCAAAGGCCTGCGATGTGCTATTTAAATTCGGTTTGGTTTCATGGTTCATGGTTCTGAACAGGAGTTGTCGGTAGCCGCTACTTCCCTTGATGAAACATAAATCACAACTCACAACAATATGTTTTTCATTGACCAGAGAATTATAGGTATGCGATCCAGTGGGCCGCACTTTTGAATCAATAGACATGCTTATCACGCGTAAGTTCATTGCAAGAAATGCAAGAATATATGCGGTCCATTGGGCCGCAGTCATTTTGAAGCATTTAAATTAAGCATATCATATGATGTCATTGTACGAAAGCATGAACCAAAAGACTACAATATACCTGAATGCGTATGGATGTGTATGGATGTGTAAGGATGTGTAAGAATGTGTAAGTCAAAAAAAAATCCACTTACACATGTGTAAACCAAAAAAAATCCACTTACACATGTGTAAACCCCAAAAAATCCACTTACACATGTGTAAACCCAAAAAAAAATCACTTACACGTAAAAATGTGTAAACATGTGTAAACATGTGTTTTGTATTTTGTGTTTTTTTGAAAAATATGATATGCTGAACCAAAACTGAACATGAAACAAATATAATCATCCATTTTAAACATTTCCACTTCCACTAAAACATCATTCCGTCCTAAAGGCGGTCCAATGGACCGCCAACATGTTGGAAAACATGTGCAGCTGCTTTGTGTTTCTTGATGTAGCCCCAAAAATGTATAAATACCCTTGATGTACAGGCGGTCCAATGGACCGCCATAACCTCCAATTCTATTAAAAAGGCTTTATACACACCTCACAGGGGCTGTGGCCTCATGATCTTTCCAAGAGCCCAAACGCTTTTTACTTCGTATCCATCCTGTTGTCCAAACGAGAAGAAGATAACATATCAACAAAAAGACTCAGCATCACAAAACTTTTCCCGATAGGCTTCTCATAGAGCCGCCTTCCGACAAAAATATCAAAAACAAACAAATATGATTTTAATTCGTTTCCAACCCAAACCTTGTTGTTTATATGTTTTTATTCCAACACAAAAAATAATAGTTTTTAAAATCCCCAAAAGTTAAGTTTCCTAAGTTACTTATAAGTTATTTAAGTTGTTTTTTTGTTAACTCAAAAAAAGACTTAAAACAACTTACCATCTAGTTTATCTTTGGTAACTAACAACTACCGTAAAATAAGATAAAAACTTAGCTTACTTAGCTTAGATACACTAGGGTTGCAACTACCTTACAACTAGGTTACAAGTTACTTGCAAGTGCTGTAAACCAAAACCATCCACTTTGTAGGCCCTACGCCATATGGAAAAGTCTCCGAATTCCAGTGATTCTCCAATAATTTTCTCCAGCCTCAGCCGAAACCATCTTACGCCAAGGTTGGTGAATTTGATAATGGTGATGATGATGGTGATGATGATGGTGATGATTATGATTATGATGATGATGATGATGATGATGATGATGAGGACGACGACGATGACGATGATGATGACGACGACGACGATGATGATGTCTTTTTGACCTTGACAATATGTTTGGTTTTGCAAATGGACCATGCGCTCACAAGCCCATAGAGGAGGACATCTGCCACCAGGCTGCATCATGCGAAGCTGGGTCAGGGATCCTGTGATGCTTCCGACCTTGGAGATGGAGCAAGTCAACACAAATCCATAGCCTGATCTGAAATCAGCAACCTCCATTTACCCTCCGGCAGTCAAACCTGGCTGTTAAATCTCCTATATATATATAAATGACATAGAATGGGCATCGCAAAGGGAAAATCATCGAATCAAAATGGTGGCTTTTCCGGCCAGGTTGCGATGTAGGAGAATACCTGGATGCGGCAAGTTGACCAAATGCTGAGGGTATGCCACCCATGGGTCACATACTAATAACGTTGCTACTCACCGCCATGTAAGCACATGCCTGCACATAATATATATAATTATATGTATAGCTATAAATGCAAACGCAGCAATGTTGCTAATAGATACACGTGCATATGTACGTGTGTATATATATATGTATATATATATATGCAAATGCAAATATATATGTATTACATTTGCACATGTGCAAAAATGTTATATGCATGCTGTATTATATATATATTATGTGCGTGTACATGTATGGTATATATATATAATATGTGTATATATATACACGGTCAACTGTATATGTACTGTACATTTCATATATCAAGAAATGCCGACTGCGAAAACCAACGGCGCCCATTCTGAAATCGTTGATGGCTGCGGTGAGCCAGCACAACGCAAACAAAAAAGTAAAAATAACAATCGGTAATGGGCACAAATGCCAATGTTGATCAAAATCAAAGTTTAAATAGCTCGAAACACTTTGGTAAGACATCATGCTAAATAATCACATCCCATCTCCCTAGCATTTAAATAGGGGGGAATGGGGGGGTTAGCATCCAAACTTTGGAATTAACATGGTTTAACCACCATAAAAGGGGTGTATGTATATATATATACACATATCATATGTATAGTTATGTAGATATAGATATATAGCCAATGCACTATATACAAAAATAATTACCCAATAAGAGGACAACATGCACAAATGAAAAAAAACAAGATTCTATAAAAGGATATCCTAATATTACATATGTTTGAATATTGAGGGGAACATCATCTAGGTGTTGCTCCCAGCCACTTGCCATTTCCGTTGGCAACATCTGGTGTTTTCTGAAAATGATGCGCCCCTAAAATTGTGAGAGTGTAAAGCCACCAGGTCCCCAAAAATACGTGGTCTTTAGCCTTTTTTGGAATATTTTATTTTTTTTAAAAAAAAATACATCTTTGATCATATGAAAGATCAAAGTTCTTGGGGGATGTACTGTTTTTGGTGTGTTAATCCTTAGCTCTATTCTTGGCCGCTTGCTTTTTGTAGCTCCATTGGTTTTTGATAGGTGGTCTTAGTATATGAATGCCAAGAGTTCTTTGCCCAATAACGTCTTGAAACATAGATAGTCATTGTGTCAGTTGGTATTTCATGTATATATTACTCTATAGGTACTACTTAGGTATACAGCTATTGCAAAAATGGTGTATATATATATACATACACATAGCACTTTGTATTTGCATTGGTGGTCTTTGAGATTGGACTGCCAGGTCGCCTTTTGCTTGACACGACAGTTCCAGTGGAACTCTTATAGCAAATGGAAGTGCAAATTCCAATTTACTGTCTCTGCTCAAGTAAGTGCAATATTTTTTTGCATACTTCATGGTAACTTGCTGCATCAATGCCCAAGCAAGGCAGCCATTCTATAGATACAATTGTTTGGAAAAGTTGCTTAAGTGTTTCTTTCACTTGTTTTTTCCCTTCTGGTTATAATGATGAACTTATACTGACATAGTTTAAGTTTTACCCAAAGTCATGGGTACATTTATGGTACTAAAATGTCTGCCGTTATATCTGCAGTGACACAGCAAGATACATCGAATTACCATGGAATATGCAGGAACAAGCACCTTTCTGAAGCAAGGGGGAAATGGAAGTGCCCTTGGAATTTGCCAACTCTTGTGATCAACAAATATTCTGAGAAAAGAGTTGTTACTGCAATAAAACCTGGAAGAATCCCACTGCATATGCAGAACAAATGCACAAAACTTGTGTCTGTAAGGGCATGGGTGACTTATATGCCACCCATTTCATAACTGTATGTACTATATAAGAAAACGTGTTTGTATATAGAAAATAGTTGTGTTCTAAGTGCATATGCAGCTTGGATGTGTTGACACAGCAAATGGCTACGGCATCTGCAAAAAAATGTCACAAGGAATCCTTTGGATATCAGTGCATGTTTGGAGCTGCCATTTCTACTGTATATATATAGATATAGTGCACACTTGTGACAACGCGCTTGCATACTGGTTGAAACTATTCGTCCACTAAAGCACAAACACATGAATTTGTTCGTACACTATATAGATCAAAGAACTAAGGACAGGAGTGAGTTTTGATCGGTTGGAGAAGGGAGCCCTTTCCAGATGCATTCTGGGAGCTACGAATCGTAATCCAAGGTGTTGTGTTTCTTAACGCTTTTTGGGTGTTACTCATCCTGTCATAAAAGCACAACCAAATAATTATGGTGATCGGTTACCTGCATTAGATGTGCAGTGGCATAGCAAATTACTGTGAAATATGCGGGGAAAAATATTTATTTGGAGAAAGAGTAAGTTGGAGTTGCCCTGCCATTTGCCATCTCTTATGATTAATTTCAGTTGCAAGCAAAGAGTCTTTATTGCATTAAATCCTGGAATATGTTCCATCGCATATGCAATTTACATGTGGGAAATGTGTATACATATTGGCATGCGCTACTTATGTACCACCCACATCATAGATGCATACAGTAGTACTAACAAGGAAAATGCAAGTTCATCAATGCATATATATATATATATGTATATACCAGTGACAGTGACATTCTAAACATATACACCTTGGGTGTGTTGATACAGCATATGGCTATGGCATATGTAAGATCCATGTTGCCATATGTTGCCTACATCACAAGGAGCTCTTGAGACATCAGTATCTACTTGAAGACTGCAGTTTATATGGTATACATATTGTATACTTGTAGCAAGATTAGTGCCTTTCTGAAAATCCTATGGTTGAATTAAAGGTGCATTTTGGGGCATACGCAATTCTTGGACAAACCCAAGTACCATGGTAATTATTCTATGCCCCCACACATACCCATCCAATGACTGGTCCCAAAATGATGATTTTTCTTGCGCGCCGCACTCCCGTGACACCAGGGAGCAATGAGGGCGAAGAGCACAGTTAACGCAGCAAAGCCCCGCTCCAAGGGGTTGGCCGGCCTTCGGTTCAGGGCAGTTGTCACGGCTGATGGCCAAGACCATCCAAGACCACTGAAAAGGGAAAGTCCCAACATGGGTCACAAATATCATGGTTATATATACCTCCAAATGGTTCTTTAGGGTGTGGAAATTATGATAAACAATAATGAAAGCATAGATAATGGATGATGATAGGTTCTACATCATTCTACGGTAGATTATTTTTGCCCCCCCAACTTTATTTGGACAACCAGAACCAGCGTCCTTCAAGGGTTGCTTCAACGGGCTAGCGTTGGAGGAAACCGAACCACCTGTGTATATTGACAAACAGCCTGGCAGCGCTAAGTTTGATACAGCATCCTGCTCTATTGACCGCTACTGCCTCTTGGAGGTAAACATAAAGGGAGATCCTAGGCAAGCACAATGCAAAAAAGGCACAACCCAATAGTCATTCTCAAGCCCGATGCACCCCCAAGAATGGGTGTATACATCCTGTTTTTTTAGTTCATTGCATGGTTTGTTCAGAAATTGGGTATATATTTATGTGCGTATACATGGGGAACATGATTGTTTCTAGATTCTAGATATTGGACGGACGCATTTTTCAATTCGGACAGTGAGGACACTCCAACGCATAATGTGGGAAGCTGATGTCACAGAATTCCAACACAACCAAAAAAGAGTCGATGTTGTTACTGTATGTTCTTGCCCGTTACTGTACCTCATATCTTCTTCCCCACAAACCAAACCATTCAAACAACACCCCTTGTGGCAACGTTCAACGAGCGCGAGGGGCTGAACTTCCATTGAGGCTGGAGTGAATTGGCACAAACTCCAGTGAAGGCAAGTGAGGTATGCGTAGATCCACCTGGGGCTTTCAATCCCTAAGCGGTAAAAAACACAAAACAGCGTCGATGAATAAAAATTGAAGGTTAAAGCCCAAAGATGTTGGTGTGTTTTAAGCGCCAAACATGCTGATATCATTGGTAAATTATGGTAAATTGTGGTTGGTTGCTGAATTTGTCGGGGTTCTTCTACCCTACAAGGAATTATTGAAATTTAACATGATCCATGAGCTGGCAATGCTAGGGGGACCACTAGTTGGAGGATTTTGCGCGTGTTTCTTTGACACTTCTCAATTCAGCAACTGATTCATGTTTCATGTGGATTGCCAGATTGGTTCAAACAAATTAATAAAGATTGGTGTCTTGAAAGGTGTAGTGCCCAATTCCTGTTCAAGCCGGTGCTAAGTGCTGGGTGTGCGGAAAAGAAAGTCCGGACAACAAAAACTGGATGAAACCCTCACTTGGAGGATCATCCCCAGTTATATAGCAACTGGTTAACAAACCTGTCCATGTGTAAATGGTTGTAATTAACCATGGTTACTATAACCAGATACCAGGTGGGGTGACCCTCCAAGTTTCCTGGGCAAATTACATCAAAGTACTAACTTTCTTCAACTGGAACTAAGCCATTTTGGGGAACATGACCATGGTTCGATTCTTAACAGTAACCAACCGCACCCGCAGCTCATCACCAAGGAGCGAGTATTCAAGGCTGTCGATGCCATAGGAGAGGAGATTGTTTGCCTCAAAGTGTTTACCCTCTGGTTATTTAACATAGCCATGGAAAATTGACCATTTATTTATAGATGGTTTACCTATAAAAAATGGTGATTTTCCATGGCTATGTGGCTATGTTAAATAACCAGAGGGTAATATATTCAAGTTTTTTTTGGTGTGTTCGGATGTCTGCTTCCTGCCTGCCCAAGACCTATGGTTGAATACTAGGCATGACCAGCACCTATCTCTTTCTAACATTTGGCATACATCCATATCCATACCGTCGGTGTGTGGCCCATCTACCTGCATGACTGGGTGAAGTTGGAGACGGGGGGATGACCTGCCCAAGTGAACCGGCGGTGGTGCGTAGTGGATTTGAGATGCTTTGTGGAGGGTATCTTGGGACATTCCCTATGACATGTGTACATATATATATATATGTATATATGTATATTCTGTATATCATCCCCGGGTAATTAAAAAACAATTCACTAACCTGAAATAAGGAATAGTTACCCCTGCTAACCATCATTCCAGTGGGGTCGCAGTGAGGTCGCTGCTACACACACGCATGCATGTATATATATATTTAACACATATACACACATATTTATTTATGGATATATATATATATACAATATATATATACATATTGGTATATCAATATGAAATTATATCGGTTCTCATCTCCATCTGCTGTGTCTCTAATCCGCTTCCCACCCAGGGTTCAAAAAAGGCAGGCCAGTGGCTGACCATGTGTTCCAACCCAGCTCGACACTCACGAGGGAGAAACCAAACCACGCACAGGCCTTATGCCAATGGAATTTTAAGGAACCTAAAATGGAGGAGCATATGCCCTTACATAGCCCTTACATAGACCTTACGTATGGTAGGTACCTCCAATTTAGGTTCCTGAAATGGCCGTTGATAATGGTTTGGGCAGATTCCAGCTGTGGATGCTCAAACTGCCGTTCTAAAAAAGCTGTTTCAATCCACAAGTCACACACACACACATATATATATATTATTTGTTTATGAAACTACTGTATATATATATATATGTGTGTGTGTAAATATATATATATATGGCTTTGTTTGAAAATTGGATAACCAATGATACCCATTCCACTGGTTCATATCATTATCTTATGAACATGGTCATTTTAGAGATATCCCCGTGTTCCAAGTCCTGGTTCCGCATATCACCACTAAATTCATTCTCGGTATATGAATTACCCTCTGGTTCTGGCCATTCGAACGGTCTTCTATTCAAGTGGATGAATATGGCCCAGTTGTGGATGATTTATGATGATTTACCGATTCAAATGATTAAACTGATGATTAAAAAAGGGTTGCTGTCCACTGCATTTATTGGATTGCCAAAGGTATATACCTTTTCTGAGTCATTAAAACAATATTCTCTCACAACATGACTTTGATAAAGTCAATCAAGCAAACATACAAAGGCAACGTGTTAACTATATGTGTATATATATATATATGTGTGTAATTAAATTCTATGTAGCAAATGAGATTGCATGAGTGATTGCAAATGGTCTTGAGACTTTCAAAGAACACATGCCTGAATCCACAAACATCACAAAGCCAAAATGGTCTTTTGCACGGCAAGGTTTAGGCAATCCCTAAGAGATTTAGGCTGAAAGTGGAAAATCCAGCTGGATCATCCTACATCTCCTCCAATCAAAGGTGGCAATGGAAAATCCGCTCCATTGCCATGTTTGATTGGGAATACACCCGACCCATGGCCATGAACCGGCATGGAACAGCCTCGTGAATCCTACAAGATCTACAAAAGGTAAAGCCAATGACAAACCACGCTAGCTATGCTACCTCCAAATTGTGGACATCACTCCATTTTGGGATCATCGGATCATGTACCCTCTGGTAATTTAACATAGCTATTGAAAATCACCATTTTTAATGGGAAAATCCACTATTAATGGTCATTTTCCATAGCTACGTTAAATTACCAGAGGGTAACATGACCGCAACTGCTGGGAATCCTGGATGTTACCGGGAAAGGCTCCAGCACGTGGTTGATGACCAGCAGGAGTCCCATCATCTTCGAAATTTCAAACCTCGGCCAGACCAGACATCCGAAAAAAACTGGGTTGGTAATGGCCGAGTTTCTGGGCAACACATGACAATCCACAACAATTTGGCCAATGAGCTTTCAAAACTAAATCTCAATATGTCAAAAACAAACGTGGATGCACTACGTTCTAACATATGAGACCTTATCGTGGTAAGCCAACCGTAAACTGTCCCATATTATCCATAAACCGTTGGGAAACAACCGCTGTCCGAGATTGAGTTCTTGCAGGGTCAAAACTCTGGCACCTTGGTGACCCCAGAATCGCTGGCGAATGGGGATTCATCCCCCTTGAGTATAATGGGCTAATAGGTTTGCTAGGGTCAAAACATGGTGATGGTATGTGGTTGACAAATGTCTACGGTTTATGTGTGGTTTATGGTCATCCATCCCATATAAATCCCCAGAAATGGATTGATGACCATCCGATCCGCCAGGGCATACAATTTTATACATGTCAGCTTTTGACCATGGCTCATAAATTACTGGCTGAATTAAATAATGATTCACGAACCGGAAAAAATAGCTGAAACCATCGGATGACCGTTGACCTCAGGGATTACTAGAGATATTTTGAGGTTTTCTAATCTGGGGACCACAAGAAATAGTAGGATTTGACCATAGTAGGTTCCCCAATCGTAGGCTTTAGTAGGTTCCCCATAGATGGGGAAATGATCTTCAGCAAATCAAGGAAAATCCCGGGATTTACAACCGGGCTGGATGATTTTTCAGGTTCCACGACAGGCCCAGAAAAAAACACACCTCCAAATGGTCCAAAGAAACTATTGCTGTGGTGATTTAGGGAAATAGACATACAGGAAACCTGTAAGGTTGTGCAACTCAGCCTGACAAACTGGGTTAGGTCCTACACATCACTTTCCAGCAACGTCACATCTGCCCAGTCACATGATACTGGCGTACTCAGAGTCGAGATAATCCTCAGGAGCTGTGTGCGTGGTGCCCTGGTATGTGATGCTGGTGTACGGGTCAAAACCCTAGTACCAAGTGAAAATATGCGAGAATCAAAGTTGCCGGCATTTGATATTCATTCCCTAAAATGTGGTGTTTTGGGTTTTGACTCATCTGCGAATGATTCGTTGATTGTTTCAACCCCCCAGGAGAAAGAGAAAACCACCTGCTTAGCAATCCTGGTTCTGAAAATCCCTTGGCTGGATTTGTTTGATGGATGGCCAGCATCAGAGAAATCACACATGGAACTGAAGATTGCCAAAGTCTATACCGTTTAGAGCAACTGGAAACATTCGAAAACTCATGGCTGATGGTCATATAATCATATATGATCTCCTGAAAGACCTGTTTCCCTGGATCGGTCATGAGGCTGCGTATGATTCTACAGTTGCATGGCAAACGATGCGGGATCGACCATAAACGATGGTCATAATGAACCATGCCCGGTGATCAGCCATTTGGGGCCGAATCTATATATTATGTATAAAATCAAGTAGGAATGGTTCATGATTGTGGGTCTCCCATTGGTGATTGCCAACCAACAATTTATTTACGCAACATGTCTCTACATCCCAAGAAATTTGCAGGATACTACCGTAAGAATCCTGAAAGCCTTCCGTCAGCAAAACAAGCAGAAATCGCATCAACCAGGCAGTACTCTATCCGCATCCATCAAATTCCCCAATGATTTTTGAAATGTAAAGAAGCATCTATTGAACAAAATTACTTATCTAATTCTGGCGGAATAAGTATCTCAATAAATAATCAACAGGTTTGGGGGATGATATGCATTACTCGGCATATATATATATATACATGTGTATACATGTGTAAATATATATACATATGTATACCCATTTAATTATATATAATATGAGCAATTAAGTTGGATCCCTAAGATAGTTTGTCGCATACCATCACTGTTGGAGAAAAAAAAAACGCCATTCATATCCATGAAAATATCATAGTCACATATCCCATTATTACTTTCTCTCTCTCTCTCTCTATCACCTTCTCGAAGAGATCAGCTATGAGGCGAGAAGAAAAGAACACCGCACCCCAAGGGTAGACAGCAGTGTCAGCCAAGGGTATCACCAAACTGCTCCATTTCTCCAACCCATTTACCCAGTAGGCTATAATATATCGATGAAAAAAGGCTATACATATACGTACCTGGGTTTACTGCATATATCTATCATGGCATATCTGAAAATAAGCTACCCCCAGTCCATCTGGTTTGAAAGCTCCAAGGCCTTCAGACCCAAGCGGCCCGCACCACTTCCATCAACCAGCGCAGCTTCACGATTCGCACCAGACCTCATACTCTGGCTACCCTCATGGTGAAGTCAAAGGTACATTGCTTGAATCAAAGGCGTTAAAAAACAATAATGTGGGTAAACCAATAATAAGTCACCCCATTTTTGATGGTTTATACCGCCTATTTATGGTGATTTGGGGGATGGTTTATTATTGTTTTAACAACATTAGGAACAGTTTTTAACAAATTATCAACTTCAATGGAGGATGCTGCCTTGGTTTTGCTTATGCGCCTACGATTGCGTGCATTTTCTAGGTGCAGAATGCAGTTTGGCCATGCATGCCCCCCCCCTTCCCGCCATGGTGCGGGTTAACCGGAAGGCACGTAGAGCCCTCCTGAGTCATGCAGTGCGGTATGCAACGAATATTGCTTGGTGGATTCAACCCGGCCCCCCCCTCCCCCAGAAAAAGAGGCTGGTATAAAAATGACTCATCATCAAAACACATGAAAACCACCTTCCAGGTCAATGGACAGCATATTATCAATAATATCTATCTTGAAAATGGATGATGACAACTTCCACACTCAGAGAAACATCTCTGTTGCACAATATATAAACATATATATGTATATATATTATTAATAATGATTACAGTAATCATTAATTAGAATTTATTAGTCCATATTCTATCATGGGTCATGATGGCATTTCCTCTTGCAAACTGGTCATGACTGAACTCACTGTTGAAGGTCGCAGGCCGCAGGCAGTGACCGTCAAAATCGTCAAATCATATTTGGTCCAGGCACACCAAGGACCACTTAACCCATCCTAAGCCCAGGTACAGCAACCTTGCTTCTTGGAAACCATTGCCAGTGGAAAGCAGAGAGACCATCCTTTGTGTGGAATGGTGTGGATTCTCCGTTTCCAGGAACGGTAAAAATGTGGTCACACTGTGAGCCAGGGGGGAGATTGTGGGCACTCCCAACACTGGCGGGGCGGAAAGCAATTCTGGAAGGGGAAATAACAAGTACTATCTAAAACAGCTAAGTATAGCGCCAACTGTGAAATTGAAGTGAATTAAGGCTCAAATGTTTGAGGGTAGAAACTCCTGTGCAACAAAACGCATTCCCCTATCTTACTATTTATAAGTTCTACTTCAGGATATATAAGGCACATACCCAAGCGAGGTGAGCCACAACTGGAAAAACTGCTGAGCAGTACCAGTCAAATTGTGTAGCATCACCAGGCTGAAGCTGCAAGGTGCATTCGCTCAACCACTAGGGTTGCGGTTAGCATATAGCTGATAGCTTGCGCAAACGTGGAGCGATCATGACGGTTGTCCTGGCATGT